AAATCCGAATTGAAAAAAAATGAGCTGGCGTCATATTGAAAGTGGTTTTTGAACCGTCTTTATACGATGTCTGACGCTGGAGGGGAGAATTTACCGAGTACGCACTCAAGTGTCTGTGAGTGTTAAGGTGGATACCAGTAAGAATAGGCGATTGAGTAATGCAGTAAATATCCCATAAACAAATGTTACTGAAATATAGAAAGTAGCACTATAACAACAATCTATTTTCACAAATCTGCGCCTGATATCCTTTCATTTCGTGTACATAGGGTTTCCATCGTTCCGAAAATCCAAATTGAAAGTAATTATTAGCTAAACGCTCTACTCAAGTTCTGCATCCTAATAATGTTTTTAGATTTTGGCTTTTGGAAACATGTGAAATATTCATTTTACAGCAAGTTTATGATTGGGCTTTCCCGTACTGCTGGGATACGCAGATGACTACCGAAATCGGCAAGACCTCAACAGCTATTGTGAGATCGCGCCTCGAATTAGTATGCACCACCTACTAGGACATCTAGACTGGCCCTCGGTAGCGTCACAAAATGTACCTCGGAGGGAAGGCAAGTGTAAGCGAGGATCACTCTTATTTGTTACTATTTTTACAGGACTCATCCTCAACGCCGAACCCTTCTTTAACGAGGCCGGCTACGATGCTGTGCGCGAAAAGTCGGAATCTCATGGACTCTCACGAGCCTACAATGAGGGCGTCGTGGCCAACCTCCTGCAATCGATGGTTCAACTTCTTCGTCGACCTATTCCCGCCTTCAGAGAGGAAATTGTTGCCCATTTCCGAGAGGTTCTAGACAGGTAGGACATATTGATGTGGCTCTGCTCTTCCCGTTAATGTCCCCCATCCCGCCCCTTTGCTTCCTGTAATAGTCTCCATCTGCAGTAAAGTGCTGGCAGATTCGCAGTTGCAACACTGGAACCAGCATTGCGGCCTATTGACGCCGTCGCGTGCAGAGCCCATGACCCGTTGCATTCCACGTCTTCCTTACCCGGAAGTCAATTACCAGGTGCATAGTGTGCGACTATTTTGAAAAAATACTTGGTGCTTAAGGGGTTTAAGAAGTGCTAATCAAACAACCTGTTCGTCCTATTTCTCGTTGGTATAACTGCCCCTAAAGTTGCCTGCTGGGTTTTCACTGAATGCATCTTTGTTCTGCATCCTAATATCCTGAACATTTTCTTCGCGCTTCATCAACTGGCATCCGAAAACTGCATTCGGCTGTAGCGAGTATGCCTCGGAAGGTGGAACAGTTTTCTCGTCTGTGCGATGTTTTGAATCAGTCGGTCTACTGCTACTGCTGTTGATGACTTAAGCAAAAGATGAACTAGTTATTATGGGGTAGCCGTGTCATCAGATATTCGTGGTGCCAGAAACGATGACTAAACTAAGGTCTCTTTATATACTTGTCTTTAATTAATATCTTATAAAAGCGACGGTGTCTTATGTAGTTCCACTTAGTTGCAACCTAATCTCAAAATTCATTTGAGTCGCGACAGGATTTTGGCTTTTTAATGAGCTTCTTTCTGACACCTTAAAATATTTATCTTCTATAAAATGACTACTTACTGATTTTGACTGCGCTTTTAAATTCGAATATATTTTATAGAAAGCATTCACACAATTATTCTTTCTTATACTCGTTTGTTAACAAATCACGCCTTTTTCAAATTTTATACTTAAAGGAAGGGTATATTTTCTTTAACAGAAACTTTCTAAATCGCCGAATAGTTTTGAAACCGACCGACCTTTTGAAACTGAATCCAAGGTTTCCAAACTGCGTGTTGTGTACATCTTGTGAAAGGAAATGTACGCTTTTTCCTCCGGTATGAGAAAAAGATCGCACATTTCTAATAGAAATTTGCAGTATATGTGGATAATGCTGTATACATTATGGGCAAGATTACTAACTTGGTGGACACGATGTATTATAAATGGAAACTTCACAGTCGTTAAAACTCTCTGCTGGGTATGCGCCCATTCCCATGATTATTCATCTCACAGAAAGGCCCGCGAGTTCATCTTAAGCAGCTGTCACGAGAGCGCGACGTGACTATCGATTTTTCCTCCTATCTGATTGGCCCATTCACTCAGCTATGTCCCTCGCCTCCTTCCCTAAGTACCTTCAGCCTTTGTGTGAGAATGACTTGCGCTGACTTGCTGTAACGTGCTTGTCTGAGTAAACGCACTCTCTCTATCTCTCTGGCCGACTGGTCTTCTCTCTGTCTCTTTCTTACGAGTTCGGCTGGGAACCGTTCGTGTTGATTAGAAGTACCAAGCCCACGTCTTAACACTGTCATAATTAGAAATTTCTTAAAGCCGGAAT